CATGATCTTGAGAGCTTTCGAGTCCCTACGACTCTTCTTCCAAATTTTGGTGTAAATAGTCCCACAGGTCGGATGGTCCCACAGGTACACGTGACATGCAAGCCGTCGGGTCCCACAGGTCGGATGGAGATGGAGAACGGTCCCACAGGTACACATGACATGTAAGCCATCGGGTCCCACAGGTCGGAAGCTAAAGGGTCCCGCAGGTACATGTCGGACGGAGAAAGAACCGAGCGAAGACTTTTATGACGAATTGCAAGCATCATGGATGAGTAACTGTAGGTCCCACAGGTACATGCCAGATGGAGAAGGGTCCCACAGGTACACGTTGCTTGGAGATATGATCGAGCGGAGATTTTTATGATGAATTGCAAGCGTCACGGATGAGTAACTACAGGTCTCACAGGAACACGTCGGATGGAGAAAGTACCGTATGGAGATCTATGATGAAGCCATTCGTTACAGATCGAATATTGCTCGTCACAGATGTGTAATTCGTTCAATGACGAAGCCCTGTTCATCACAGTTTTAAAGGAGATCATCACGGATGAATCGCGCGAGTGATCTGTGACGAAACCCTATGCTTTTCTATGATGTTTTTTGTGATCATGCCTGATTTCATCATAGAAAAAGAGGGTTACAGGATCGTCACCATTGATCTATGACCAAACAGAAATATTCGTCATAAAAACACTCTTCTATGACGGTTTTAGATTTGTCATTAAGATTTTCGTCATAGAAATGGATATTTTTAGTAGTGTGACCACCTCTCCCTCTCTCTCTCTCATCTGGATGGACTGCACCCGAGCGCAACTTGTTGGCTACCACCGTTCCCCACCAAGTAGGCCATGGCCACCGACAATGCTGTGTTTCAAGTGTCTCAGGTGTTTCAGATGTATGTTTGAAGTGTTTCATCTGGATGTTGCGTACGTTGCAATGGCTATATACGCATATTGAAAGCGTATATTTCATGTTGAAAGCATATGTTATAAGTGTTTCAGACGTATATTTTAAGTGTTTCATTTGGATGTTGCAGAAGTATATCTCGATGTTGCATAACATGCATATTGCAAACGTATGTTTCAAGTGTTTCATACGTATATTGCAAGTGTTTTATCTGAATGTTGCAAAAGTAGATCTAGATGTGCCTTATGTTTGCAATGGCTTTCAAGTATTTTCAGGTGTTTTTGCAAGTGTTTTAGATGTATGTTGCAAGTCTTTCAGACCTATGTTGTAGGTGTTTCATCTAAATGTTGCAAAAGTAGATTTGATGTTACATATGTTGTGATGGGACCCACTTGCTAGAACCACCTCCTGCAGCTACTAGGACGCTGCCAAGCGGGTGCAGACACCCAGGCGGTGGAACAGAGCGTTCGTCGCGTGGGGTTGGGCTGCACGGGCGACATCCGGACAGCATGGGCCCCTGTGTGGGCATGTGAAACGGGGTGCGGCGCTGGCGTCCGGACGTGGGAGTCTGTCCCGGCGCTAGCACTGTCATTTCTTTATTTATTTTCTTTTCTTTTTTGACATAAACATATAAATTGTATACATATCTAAATATATGTACAGTTCAATATTTATCAATGTCTGTTTAGAGAGAGGAAGATATAAGCATAAATGGCCTGGGTTAAGTTTGTACACTAATTTAAATAAGTCAGCAACACGTATTTCTATATATAAAATATATGCGTTTATTATATATGTATCTTCATTTATCTAATACTTTAAATAACTTAGCACCGTATGTACATCTATACACATCTTTATTCATTTACACACTGGCTACCGAATTCTAAGACTTCAATACAACCAAGATGTACCATATAGGTTGGGGACACGAAAAACAAACAAACAACCAAACAACTAAATTAGCATGCACGAGAATTATAAATTACCCATATTTAACTAGAATTATTTATTCAAGTGGCTAAACACCAACAATTCGAATTGTTTTGAAACCTGGACATAATTTGCATAATTTTCGCATGCATTGCTTATTTTAGTATTTTCCATGGAATTTTCTGTGAATCCCATTGGAGTTCGATCTTTAGGATAAAATTTTGAAGTCTAGTTCATTACCTCCTGCAAAACTTATGCACGGAGGCTCATGGATTGTGAAATATATATGGTTTTTCACTACAACACTTTAGCATGTTGTGAACACATTTTATTCAAACAACATGTTCCACGTGATGGAGCCAAGGAGGAGCCAGTGGGGCCGACCAACCCCCTAGGGTCGCCCGATCCTACCAGTGGGCCCTACTGCCCCCAATCCCTATGAAAGCCAAGAAACACATTCCTAAGTGATTTCTACCATTGGATATGTGACGTGTTTTCTTTGGACGGCTCTACACATCTCACATGGATTGGATGACCCACAAGTCGACTACCAGAAACATCCAAGTGACCCCACCAAAACTTACACACGTAAGAAGGAAGGACCAAGCCCCCTACTTTTTAAGGGGGGCCCTGCTGTCATAGGATGGTCAACCCCCATATGGTCACCCGACACCCTCAGTCTTCTCCACCACCTTTCTCTAGTCAACATACAAGCAAGCACAAGTGTAGTGGATCTCCACCCTCCATCTTATGGTCGTTTGATCCAAAGGAGTTGGATTCAGGGGCCCACATCCATCACTATAAGGTGGTACCCCGTACTTCCAAGAGATGAACACCACTCCAAGATGTAGAGAGCTCAACTACTACCTTTGTATCTAGTAGGATAGTTTAGTGTGGAAGTTAGAGTGAGTAGTGAGCTAGTCTCGAGTTTCCCGAATTAGTCTTTTTCGAAAGTTTGGTATAGTTCTTGTATCCTTTTCCCTTTCATTAAGACTTTACTTCATTTAATATTTATCTTGTCTACTTTTTAATGTTTACTTTGTGCAACATACCTTATGTTGTGTTGTAGTGGTATAACCGGGATCTCTCATTTTTTAATATTCTAGTCGCTGCTTTTCATGTGGATAAAATAACTAACGATACATTAGAATACTCTTGAGTGAAGTGTTAACGGTGTTCTAAGAATAAGCTACTTGAGCATTTGAAATACAAACAGCGACCCTAGCTTCATGTCGTGCCAACTCCCTTCGGCCTACCGCTCGGGTCCACGAAGCCTAGGGCGTAGACCCTGCTCCGTTCTGTTTAGGGCCGACGCCGTGCCCACCCCCAAACACAGTTGCTGATGCAAGTGAGTTGAGCCGCACATGTTCCCTTCTGTTACGAGTTTCATGTGCTTACTAGTTGAGCTGAGCCCACAAAATGACTGATTTAGTGGTGCATACTGTTGCTTTTGTATTTAGAAATTCATCAGTAGGCAACAAGATATTATGTCATTGTAGAAAGTGTGTTAACTCATTTTAGAAAGAGGCAAGTGAAGTCCACCAGCTTTTGATATGCGATGGGTTTCTAAAAGGATATAAAACATGGAACTTAAATGGAGAAGCTAGCTCCTCGGTGAATTATGGGAGTTATGATGTTGTGAGGTTATAGAAGATTCTAGTGAACATGATGGAATTAATATATGATTTTCCTAGACACTTAGCTGGTGGTGTATAGATGATAGAGGAGATTTGATGACAACAATTCTATTCTGGAGCCTTGTCTAAGTTAGTTGCCCTTCAAAAGTTGGTAGTAGAAAATAACAAAGAGTTATACCCGAATTGCAAGAAATATACATAGCTAAGGTTCCTCGTAAGATTACTCCACATCGAAGTCCTTGGAGTGTGGTCTGATAGATCTATTAACCTGCTACTAGATCTACTTATGGAGATAACGGAAACAATGATGTATCTGATTAGGGTGAATTCTAGCTTGTTGATAGGTATGATGTAGCCCGAACTGTGCGGTCTCGTTAGTGTAGCCCGTGTAGTGTAGCTCCATGCAACCCCATCAAGTCAGTGTATCCCCACCAATGTATAGCCCTTGTACCGTAGTCCAATGCAACCCCATCTCATCTTTGTAGCCCCACCAATAATGCAGCCCGCGCAGTGCAGCTCCATGCAACCCCACCAATTCAGTCCTATATATTAGTGTAGCACCACCAATGCATTCCCTGTAGTGTAGCCCCATGTAGCACAACCAATGAATGATAATGCTCCTCGTTGTCTACATGATGAACATGTAATCCCCTCGTCCATTCTACAAAGTTTCTAAACATAATTGTATTACTGTTTCATCATTGATTATTCAATTCTCATAAATGCATTATTTGCTTCTAATTGGAAGGGATGTGATGTTATATGTAATCTCGTGTCAGTTCCATGGATTGTTGGTCAGTAAAAAAGTATATACCTTCAAACCACATAGCATGATAGATATGGTCACATGACCATACAAAGATCCTGATGGCCAGATCCGAACTGATGAAGTTCGTATATTTTTGTCGGCCTGCCGTAGTTTGGAGGTCCAAATAAACGACGGCGGTTAATCACTATAATTTCATTTACACACTGATGGACGCTACTGATGCTGTTGTCCAGGTGCAGGCCGGCCGGATAACTCGTGCTACTGAAGAAACCAACGACATCCTTTCTCAGACAATGTACGTATTATATGGTGAACATGCAAGCAAGTGCAAAGCCGCCGTGGCCGTTCACTTCACCTTGAAAGAAAGTCGAGCAACGATCCTCTGAAGTATGAACTCTGAAGAAGAAAAAACGGCGAACAAATGAAAGCACCGGCCATATACTTTTATGTCTCCGTCCAGAGATTGCACCGTAAGCAATGCATGGCCATGTGCAGGTTATAGTTATGTCTGGCTTGCTTCATTCGATTGATGCGCTTAATTTATTTTACTAATCAGTCGTGATTAGGCTAAGGCGGTGTGTATATATACCGTACCCACCAGACCACATCGCACAAATCATCACAACAAAATCAATCAAGTAGACACACAAGACACTAGTAGTAGAGCAAATAAACCATTTCTAGTTGTCAGCGTCACAGGCACAGCTCTAGTTTTGTGCAGTTTCCAGGCATACAAACCCAAGCTAGCGATTGGTATGGCTCCAGCTCGAGTTCTTGCAGCCCTGTCGCTCGCAGTTGCCTGCATGCTGACCGCAGCCGCCGCTGATGACACCACCAGCAGCAGTTCATCGTCTCCGGCACCGACCGGATGGCTCAAGGCGAATGCCACGTTCTACGGCGGCGCCGATGCCTCTGACACCATGGGTAATTATGTTGCTCCCTGATTTCTTATTTTTCCATGCAGCTAGCAAGGGAAAAAGAAGAGAGAAAACTGTATAACCTGATGTGTCCATACATCCTTATGTGTCGCAGGAGGTGCGTGTGGGTACGGCAACCTGTACTCACAGGGCTACGGCACAAGAACGGCGGCGCTGAGCACTGCGCTCTTCAACGACGGTGCCTCGTGCGGGCAGTGCTACAAGATCGCGTGTGACCGCAAGAGGGCCAACCCGATGTTTTGCAAACCTGGCGTCACGGTGACCGTCACGGCCACCAACTTCTGCCCGCCCAACTACGCGCTGCCTGGCAACAACGGCGGCTGGTGCAATCCTCCTCGGCCACACTTCGACATGGCGCAGCCGGCCTGGGAGAAGATCGGCGTCTACAGCGGCGGCATCATCCCGTCATGTACAAAAGGTATATATATTTGCTAGTCTCTACTCTTCTAACAAAAAGTCAAAAACATGATGCATGCAGTATGTTATCTTAAGTAAAAATGCTTGCTTTAATTTGCAGGGTTCCTTGTGTGAAGCGAGGTGGGGTGCGGTTCACAATCAGCGGTCACGACTACTTCAATCTCGTGCTTGTGACCAATGTTGCAGGTGCTGGCTCCATCAAGTCAATGGATGTCAAGACCTCCAACTCCAATAGCTGGATACCAATGGCGCGAAACTGGGGTGCGAACTGGCACTCTCTTGCATATCTTACAGGGCAGATGCTCTCGTTTAGATTGACTGACACTGATGGGCAAACTATTGAATTCACGAACGTGGTGCCACAAGGATGGAAGTTTGGCCAAACATTTGCATCCAAGTTACAGTTCAAGTGAGACTGAGAGCTCCGTGCAGGATTTCCTGTGACTCGATCATGACCTGCGGGAGTAGAATTTCAAGATGGTTTGAAGATGGTCTTATTGTCGGAGTATGATTTGAAGACGGTCAAAATGCATTCATGGAGTTGTACACTATGTGCATTATTACCTTTATATATAGATACCGATTATATTCTTAGCAGCTATGGCTTGTACATATTATTGTTTGGAATTGTGTATATTCTTTTTTAATTTAAATTTATGTTGTTCACACAAAGATGTTCGTACATCCTGACAAGCTATATATCTATTCTGCTGCACTAAGGTAATGGAGCCATGTGCATAGTTATACACTAAATGCAAGTATGTTTGATATTCCAACACCAAAGAGCTAGCAAATTATTATTGGCCTTCACAACTCAGATTCCGGCATAATATGATTCTGAAAAAAGTAAACACTAAGATAATTAATGTAAGCTTTTCATTATTCTAATGGCCATATATATAGTTAGAAACGCTATTAAACTGAAATAATATACTTCAACGCCTGGAGCTTAGGAAATTGGTAATTGTTTGAGTGTTTAATTATGCTATCCATTACTTGGCGATTTGAACACTTTCTTGCCACATTGGCCAATTACAGGTCGCTCTAGTTTTCTTGACAGCCAACCTCTAAGGAAATAATCCTTAAGGGCCAAAATCGTCAAGGAAATGAATTTCCCTTGGCCTCGATATATACTTGGTAAAAAGTGCTTTAGGGTTGGTTGCCAATAATCATTTCCTTGGCAGTTTTGGTAATTTCCTTGGCAGGTTTTTGGCGCCAAGGTAATTGAGCTCTATTGTAGTGCAAGCAAGTTACGCACATATTTTTCAAGAAACACTACTGTGAAATGTAAGTTCAAAGATGGGTGAAACAACTTTTTAGAGGCAGACAACACCTCTGCCTCCCACATGTGGTCTGACTTAATCAAGATTTTTCATAGCCTACTTCTAAGAATGAATCAAAGAAAAAAAATACCCGCGGAATGAGCTTGTTGAGACCGATGAACCCGCCATCACAGTTACCACTACACCTCCAATCCCATGCTGCACCATCGCGGTCCCCGTTCACGTCGCTGCTACTGGCTCTAGGTTCTGGACGGCTGGGTCCGTGTCGATAGAGGGGATGTAGCATCTCGCACACCAGCATATCAGATCGGTAGAGGCAACACATGACGGTGAAAGATAGGAGGTGGCCTATGCACCAACGATAGACGTGGGTGGAGGAGCTATCGCCGCTATGCGAGTTCGAGCGCATTGCCTAAGACACCATCCTTGCTGCCCTGTGATGAGAGCAAAAGATAGTAAGAAAGAGAGGAGATGAGGGATGGTGGCAGTAGAGGAGACGAGGAGTCGCTCATGATGTCTAGCAGCAAGGATCTACCTCGATCCGGTTGCATCTACCACACCAAAGGCTAGATCTAATCTACCATCATTGAGGTGGTGAGAGGAAGGGGCCACCGCTAGGGTGGAAGAGGAAGGGGTGGGCACCGGGATGGGATGGGTGTGGTGGCTAGGGTGGGGTGGGAATGAGTGGGTGATGATGAGGTGGTGGTAGTTGGAGTTGAGGGGACAAAGAGAGGTGGGAAGCAGCCGCACTTGCAGAAGAGGGAGGTAGGGGGAGAGAGAGAGAGGTGCTAAGCTGGTTAGGGTTAAGTGTGTGGGGGATTAGTGCTGGACTTAATGGGTTAGGCTCCAATTCACAAAGGCAGGCCTTTTAAGGGTGTTGAAAGCCAAAAACGGGTCAGAGAGTTAAAGATGGATATGATTAGAAAACATGTGCAAAGAAGAAAAGAACAAAAGGTAAAATTTGGCAAACCGGCTTAGACCAATTTCTAAACGGCCTACACCGGTTTTGGTAAACTCTGCTGACATGTCCTGTACAAACCGGCCTAGACATGTTTGGAAAACAACCTAGGCCAATTTTGACAGTCCGAGCCCAATTTCGTGTTCTTCTTTGTAAACTCATCTGATCTTGTGGGATCTTATAGATTGTGTGTATATGACCACCCCTCTATTTATATGAGAGGATCATGGCCAACTAAGAGATCCATCTATCCAATCGACAAAAATCAATCTACATTTACTTTTTACCTCGTACCTCAATCTCTTCCAACCCCCGTTGCTGTTCGGCACGTCTCTAGATGGTATTTGCTAGCATTCTAGGTGGCTTTGTCGATCCTAAGGCGAACCTGCTGTGCATCTCCCCGATGGGTTTTCCCGGGAGCCGTTCATGGTTTTTCAGGCAAAGAACGAGTATCGAATCGGCCTCGTTGACTACTGGTTGGTTATTGTGCAAGGGCTCTGGTATGGTTAAGCGATTGTAAGAGGATTTGTGCTCATCCTCACGGGGATTGTGAAAAGCAACTCTAGTGGATATATCGAGGCTACTTGAAGTGCCTTGTTTGGTCGACTCCTTGCGAGCACCCATGTTGAGGTCAAGCTTGAGAGCTTGCTTTGCTTGTGGAGTGACATTCAAGGATTCTCGCCTCAATGGTGATGTAGGTTGATAGTAAGCAACCGAACCTTAGGTGAAAAATTTATTGTGTCACTTGCCCCATTGGTTTGCCCTCTATTAATTACACTAGCTATTTCTTATTGTTGATCTTGTGCTTGTGTAGTCGGTAAATATGTTTGACTAGTTGCTTAGTGTAATTTGAGTAGCTAATCTTGTGTAGCTCGATTAGTTGAATATCTAGCTTAGAGTAGGTTGAGTGCTATAGCTTCTAGCCTGTATTGCTACTAGAATTGTGTAAAAAAGGCTTGCTTTGAGTGCTTAGGCTAGGCTTGTAGTAGCTGTTAGGGTCATCTCTTATACTAACAAGTTGCCTAGCTTAATTGTGCTTGAAGATTTTTAAATAGGCCATTCACCGTCCCTCTAGCCATCCTAGATCATTTCGTTGTTTCATCCTAGAGCAGATTTAAGCAATTGATTGAGAAGGCCTGCTGATGGTAAGACTTGTTTATACATGTCTTAGTACATTATAGATGTGGAGTTGCAGAAGTGTAACAATTTTTATGCATTTTCTGAGCTATTAAAGTGGTGTTTGACCTATATGTAAACGACTTCTGCGGAAATTTTATTAACTAAATTGTTAAATAGTTTTTACCAAATCGTACATAAATTTTCTTGTGAGGCATACCTAATACAAAAATTCTAGGATGTCATGTGTCATGATTAGAGAGCAAAAGTACCTCACCTAATGCTCTGTTTGGATCCCTTGAGCTAACAACTAGTTGCTAAAGTTTAGCCCTTAAGGATCCAAACAGGTGGACTAATAGGTGGCTAAACTTTAGCCATAACTCCAACTAGTCGTTAGCCTCTATAAAAAAAACTAGTTGTTAGCCAATTAGTCTATCAAACCCAGCTATCAGGGGCTAAAGTTTCTACCGATTGAAAAAAGTCATAGGATACCCTTGGTCCTGTCCGCAACCGCTCGACAAGACGCGACCCTATCCTCTGCTGGCTCGGTTCCCTCCGTTTCCTCATGCGCCCGTGCTGCCCAAACAGCATCTCGCCGGCAAGGACGAGGTAGCCTGTGAAGATCCACCCCCAAGCGTCAACGACATCCTCCTCAGACGCCAACAGCGAGCAGCAGCAACCGGACCCCAAGCGCCAGCATGGTCTCCATTTCTGCGTGGCCTGGCGCAGCCCGGTGCTCCATCTGCTGCCACTCTGGCGCGGTCCCCCGCTCCCGCTCTGGCATGGCCTAGCCCTGTGCTCCCACTACGGCGTGGCCGAGCGCTCCCCTCCGGTGTGGCCTGATGTGGCCTGGGCCCCCGCTTCCGCTCCGGCGTGGCCTAGCGCGTCCCGGCGCTACGCTCCCGCTCCGGCGTGGCTCCAACACTCCGGCGAGCCCTAGGCTCCCAGGGAGATGCGGCAGATGTCGTGAGAGAGGGTGAGGGAGAGAGAAAGTTAGGGGTATTCTAGTACATCTAGAGATAGGTATGAAGTCGTTAGCCCGTAGATCCAAACGGGGTTGGGCTAATTAATAGTTAACTAATAATCACTAGTCAGCTAATCACTCATCCTAGTTCATCTAAACAGGGTCTAAGTAAATCATATTTTGATTAGGGGTTAGAGTGAATGGTGCACTAGTTTACAAAATCAGTGAGAGAACTACATGTAAATTTTGTTTAGGGGTTATCCTGACGAAGTTGTAGAATAGAAAAGGTAGAATTGACTTTCATATGAACCATAGTTTGACGAGGCTTTCCCTTGTTAGCGTGACGAAGGTTCGGCGGACGAAACGTCTGCCACAGCTTAGTCATGACCGCCTGCGCGGCGACGGCATCGTCCAATCAGGCCTTCCTTTCATTCCGGTGCAGGTGCAGATCATCACTCGTGCCTCTGACGAAACAAACGACATCCTGTCTTAGTGAAGAGGAAACCGCTCGTTATACTCCATTTCACATGCAACCGCGCCGCCGTGCGCGTCTGCAGTGGCGGTTATAATAAGTAGTATACAAATGCGTCCATAACGCGCATCTTCGGCGGCGTGCGCCTCTCTCTTGTGGATTGCACCTTAAGCCATGCATGATGGGGCTGCATAGCCATAGACATGCATGTGCACGCTAGCTAGCCTTACAAGGTTTTGCTTCGTTCGGCGCCCTTAATAGATTTAGCCAATATATTATATATAATCCCAAGAGCCGCCAATCAACAGTGATTACGAAGGCTAATGGCTATGTATATATACAAGACCAACCATCGCACCATCATCATCAAAACAAACTCTATATCCATACCCATATACATATACACACCACCAAATTATTCAGGCAACTGCTTTACTCTTCTCCTGCTGCTTTCTGAGCTACGTACATATAGTCTCCTGCTTCTTCTCCAGTTCTCCTACGGTTCTTAGAGGTATGGCTCCAGCTCGAGTTTTCATACTCTTGCTGCTGGCAGCTGCCGGTTGGGCGTCGGCCATGGCCGCTAATGACGCCGTCCCCACCACCACGTCGTCGTCTCCGGC